ATTTCCCCCCCCCCCCCACCAAAGATATGGATGCAGACACAGTGCATCATTATATGCAAAATTTGTTCTCATTTTTTTTTTCTTATTGATGTTTCAATAAAAATGTTTGAGGTGGATATGCCATGATAGCGTGCTGCTGATGTATAGGTCGGTGTGAAGTGCTGCTGTTTTTTTCTCATTAATGAGACTACGAGTGTCGGGATTTGAACCTGGTGTGGAAACATTCGTAACCAACGGTGCTAACCACTGCTCTGCAGTCGTCCGGTCGAGGATAAGGTCTTTGTGTAGCAAGCCACGGGACAGAAACCGTTGGAAGGTTTTGCTGTCAAGTGCCGCTACATATTTAATTGTTCTTATCTAAAATCTAAAATCTTCTACTTATCGGTTATATTCAAAATGCCCTAACTCAATTTTCATACAATTTTTACAATTGTAAGAAGTTCAAGCGTTCCGGACACCAATGACCATCGTGGCGTCACAGGAGAAACCGTGACCGGCCGTACATGACCAACGTGACAGTTAAAGTATTCACTGTTGATCTTGATGAATTCAAGCTACGGTATCTTATGAAATATTTATGTATTGTACAACTATTTTCATTGTTGAGAACTTAGTACGCATGTGTAAATATTTTAAAAGAATAAATATATAATTTAGATTACTATCACGATCAATCAGACGATGATAATTTGTGCTAGAAACATTTGTTAAATAAACGGTATGACGTTTACACGAAATAGCATTTCGATGCGTAGACCAGAATTTCCAATGAATCAGGAGAAAAGTTAAATTTATAAATACAGAAGCTTGTGCGGCGTTTGGCAAAGTATGGAAACGGTAGAGTATTGCCGTTGCGGTTGATAATATTGGTAACCGCATTTAAATGACGGACATAGTGCGGTTCTCCAAATAGGATACTTTTGAATTGTAACGCCAACATTGGCGGTACGTACTGACAGAAAGCGGAGTTTCTAATGGACACTTAACTTCAATTAAACTAAAATTCAAACTACGCGACGTCGATGTTAGTGACGCTGTTCCGCTAGTTATTATACTGGATCTAAATCGTGTGAACTAGCGCGAAAGGATACCACGAGCCAGGAATCGGACCGTGTCCGAAACGATTCATTACCAGCCAACTAAAAGTACCAGACTTCTGATACTCAGTCATGTTATATATGTTCTACCTCATTAACATGTTTGTTATGTAGCATTAAAGAGAAAATGCCTGTCTGTTTAATGCATTCGCGTGATGTTGATCAAATCTAATTATGTAACTTTATTTCATTTCACTTTATTTCAGTATTTTTTCATTTATATTTTATTTGCAATGCGTATGTATGATTCCTTGATATTTAGAAATTAGTTCGTATTAGAAAATTCGGTATTTTTGACGTTACATTAGATATTCTTATTCGTTATAGTCGAATATTAGAAAATTAATTAAAATGCAGGCGATTTGTGACTTTTATCGAGGAAAACTATATCATAAGCAATATCACAGTGTAGATATAGGTATAACAAAAGAAATTTTCCTTATTGCAAATTTTCACTAACTTTTAACTTGCCCTTTTGTCTAGGAATAGTATGTGCAAAATTTTCGAAACTTGAAACTAACTCAAATTAAATTAACTAAAGAGAGCGTACTTTAATATACATACATATACTGCAGGTACAACTCGTCTGCGTGTAATCGATTGAATCCCACCGACGCGACATGACGATATAACGCGGAATAATTGAAAATATTTCGCAGTGTCGCGAAAATCAACGCGCGAATCGATCAAATATTAGTAATCAAATGTACTGACGGCGAAAACACGAGCATAATGAACCGACTTGTTTGCTAACGTCGACGTAGCGCGTGTATTATTTACTCGTTAGTGTCATTCACAAATTCGATACGCACACGAAACGCACTGTGCCGTCCCCTTGCACGTTTCTCCAATTCATCGACATTAACGAGGCGTTTCGGTGTCAGCAGTGAAATTTCGCCGTGTTAGGGAGTTGTACGTCGAAAAATCCAAAATCCAAGCCGATTATCATCGACGATGGCGCCAACACTAGGTTTGGTGTACGGTGGTCAACCAGAAGCCAGTTCTCGTGGGTTGCAGTTAATTTGCGAAAATTCGCTGATACAGATTATTGTTTAATCCGGA